AAAATGTCATATTTTTGGTCCAGCAGACTATAAATGCATGTATTTTACATAATAAACTGATTCAACAAGTTCTAAATGTAGCAGCACAAAGTTGCAGGGAAACTACTTTCACTTGCTTCCTTACCTCAACTATTATTAGTCCTGTTTTCTCTACAAGGCATTCTTGCAAGAGGTGGTCAAAAAGTTCCAGCAGTGTTTGTGGTTCATGTGCATGGAGCTTGATAGGTTCATGCACATTTAACATGCACCATGCACCGCCAACCGGAGCAGAGCACGGATATCGTTTTCACAGTGGAGAAGCTGCAGTTTCCAAGGCCGGTCAAGGTGTGTCATGTCCATAGACTGTATAAAAGATGGACATAGCTGCCGTGACGTCACCCGTTGGTTTCTGCACTGAGAAAATGAAGCCAGGGTTTTGCTACTTCCTGGTTGACATCTTGGATTTTTGGAGCCAGTGACGCAAAAATCATTGGAAGGGGGCGGAGCCATAGGAGCAGTGACGGGTCAGACGGATTGAGGGGCGGGCTCTCTCTGCCCGCCCACATTTACCGCCTTCTGCTCACTTCGTCTGTATGGTCGCTGCCGACTGTCAATCAAGCCAGCCACGCGCCTTGCCCCGCAAAATGTTGACGATTTTTTAAAAATTCAGTGTTGATTGATTTTCAGATTGGCCACCTGATCTCTGGACTTGACTATGAAAACTAATAAGAAAAAAGCATTAGCTACCTAGCTGACTTTATGTTAAACTAATAACACCACACAATATTAGCTTAGCTACCTAGCTGTCTCAGCAATAAGCTAATAACATTACGCTATATTAACTTAATGCAGCACTAGCTAACTCTGCTGACCTTGAGTTAACCTCAGTACAAACAACCTGAACTGTGGTGCGATAGCAGGTGGGTGCACCAACGCACTGTGCAATTGTGGACAGTGTTGTGTTTATGCACAGGTTTTTTTTGGTCACAACAACACAAAAATCACGTTACACTTTTGCTAGATTTTACTCCCGGTGTCTTCTTCCTCTTCCCCGAAATGAAATTCAAGTCAAAGAGTCACTGTTCTGACACAGTTTAGGACATTTAATTCTTATTGTAGATGGTACTTGACACATTTTCAAGTGTTGCAGAAGCCCTGGGAGCCGAGTACTGCTGCACAGGGGACTATTTTAACAGAGGCTGCAGCCACATTTGCATCGTTTTGGCACAGTCTCAAACGTTTTGATCACACCTCTTCTGTAGGCAGCTTCGGTGCTTTTTGAGGTTGCTCGGGTTTCCCCTCTTCAGTTCAAGTTCCAGTTACAAGGGACACTAAGCAGCTTCAGCTTCTATTGTCTTGTGGGTTTTACTGAATTGAGTCTCATGCGGTGTCTTTTTATTTGCATTTACAAATTTAGTGACTCAGTTGAATAATCACAAGCTTTCTGCCAGTAACAGCACGATCAAAATACTCCATGTGTTTGATGGTGAACACGTAGAGGATTTGCATTGATTTCACTGCTTTGATGAGTTTTAATGGGTACATTTTTTTATGTCTTCAAAAAGTTTGATCTTTGTTTTTACGTGATGTGGTCGTACAGACTGTCAATGGGCTTTATGAAAGCATTTCAATGATCATTTAATTACTTCTTTTTGTTGTTGATCAGTGTGAACTGAGCATTTCAAACCTCTCCACTGAACATCTTGAATACTAACACGGTCTTTCTAATGCTCTCTTGGACGCTCTACTGATGCAGAAAAGATCAGAGCGCTCGTTTAGCATAGAGAATACAGAAACACAGGTGCCATCAGCAAGAGGTACATAAATACATTTCCCAAATGGCACAGCTTTAAAAGTCACAAAGCTTGTTTTTGGATGTAATCCAGAGGCGTTCTTCTGCTTCCTGGAGATGAAAATGCACTCCACTCTTCATAATGATCTTTCTGACATTCATTGATGACCGGCATCGTTGGGGAGAAAAATATTTCATACAAATTTCCTTTTTTCAGCCTCCATATTATCCATTTTGTCGCAGACAGCAGTCAAGGCCACAGTGGTTCGTTGCATTTAATCTTCCTCGTAGGTTTTTTAATTCTGTTTTTGCATTTGCAGTCTGTATAAGTTACATCAACATCTACAGTAAGGACACATTTTTCAAAGCAGGTTTCAATCCAGAAAGATGAATTTTAGTTGTGTCCATATTTTGTAGTGATTTAACTTCTCGCTGTCGTTGTTTTCAATAACTGAGTGGTTGTTCTCAATCTCTTAATGGGTGTCTCTCTCTTTTACCTTTTGTTTCTCATTAACATATTTTGTGGCTCTTTCTGGTCATTTTGCATTTTATTGTGTCACTTTGTGGTGATTTCTTGTCTCTTTGTGATCATTTTGTTTCTCTTTTTAGTTGTTTTGCATCTCTTCATATTTCTTTTTTCTCTCTCTGGTCATTTTGCATGTTTCGTAGTCACACTGTAGTGATTTTTTTTTGCTCTTTGTCATCATTTTGCTTCTCTCTGTCATTTTGTGTCTCTCTCTGGCCATTTTACATTGTTTTGTGGTCACTTTGTCATCATTTTCCGTCACTTTGTGGTCATTTATGTCTTGCTATGGTCATTTGGTGTGTCTTTGAGGTCATTTTGCGTGTTCTTGTCACTTTGTAGTTCATGTTGCTTCTATTTTTGGTCATTTTGTGTCTGATTTTACATTGCTTTGTGGTCACTTTCCCATTATTTTACGCATCTTTGTGATCATTTTGATTCCCTTTGTGGTCATTTTATCTCTGTGGGTGCATTTTGTTTCTCCTTGTGGTCTCTTTACAGTCCTTTCTGTGAAAGTGACATAAAAAGAATACCGCTAATTTGTATTTAAGTGAAAGTACATAAGCTAAACTTAATCTTCAATCAAGTGTTTACTGTAAAATGTAATTATTAACATGATGGTTCTCCTTGTTTTGTCCTCAAAAGCAAATCAAGTCGCTAAAAGTCTCCACAACATGAAGAACAGAAGTGGACACACATAGAGGGACAGTTTTACATCAAATCTCCTTTTCACTGCAGGAAGGAGCTCATATCATCTACCTGATACTGACAATACTCACGATTAAATTACCACAATATTATCTGCTTATGAAGCTTTTTTTATGAGGTGGATTAATGCTGGTCTTAATGAAGTAAACCCCCATTATGTCATGATGCATTTGAATAAAACTGAAGATAAATGCATGTTTCACTTTGATGCTGTCTTCTATTATTAAATCCATAAATACATTTTTAATAGTTTGCTGTGGATGAAGGGAAACACTAATGAACATGTGCTGTGCTGACATGAAAGAAACTTTTTTGGCTCATGTGTCAGCCGAGCAATTATTCATTCAAGTAAGCAGGGGACATTTTTGTGTTTTTTGGCAAAATGACCACAAATATTCACAAAACCACCACAAAGAAAAAGTAAACAACCACTAAAAGATGGAAAACACAACTGCATTGTTTGCAGTTGTTTTTAATGGCGGGGGTCCTTCTGAAGGTCCCTGTTCAGGGACCTGTTGTCTCATAATCCATCAGTGATGTGTATGCCCTCTATTTAAGTATTTATATGTGTATGTGTACATTATGTAGAAACCAGTAATGTAATAGTGCTTCAAAATTAAATAAAATTTGCACTGAACCCAACTGAAAATGGAACAAAACCAAATAATCAAATAACTTGAACAATGATGTAATAAAATGTTCAAAATTTGGCATTGAAAGTGACATAATAGACATGTTTGACCAGGTAAAACAAGCATTTATTATTGTTTATGTCAAGTGTGATGTGTTTGTAGGTGTAATGAATGCTTAGCTAACTAGCTGTCTCTGACTATGTTGAACAAACAACGCTATGCTGTTAGCTTGCTGTAGCGCTAGCTACCGAGCTAAATTGCTGTCTTAATGTTAAACTAATAGTTTTTCGCTGTATTTACTTATTACTTATATTTACTAGCTACCTAGCTAAGCTGGTTGACCCTTAAGTTAGCTTGCTAGCCAAACGGCCAACTTTATGATACACTGCTTAAGCTCGTTTTAGCGCTACCTAACTAGCTGACTTTGTGCTGAACTTCTACCGTTATGCTATATTACCTTGCTATAGCTAATTACTTGACTTTAAATTAAACTAATAATATTTTGCTGCATTAGCTTGCTGTAGCTCTAGCTACTAAGTTAACTAGTTGATTTTATGTTGAACTAATAATGATGTGCTATATTAGCAGTCCTGGCTAACTACATAACTTAACGTTAAACTAATGACATTATGATATATTAGCCTTCTGTATCACTTACGCTAATAAGCTTGTGTCATGTTAGCTTGCTCTAGAACTTGTTACTTAGCTAACTAGCTGAAATAATGTTAAACTAAAAACGTTGTGCTCAATTAGCTCGCTGTCACTCTTCCTAATTAGCTTGAATTCCGTGGTACTAATAGGCAAAGTTCTTACTTTTGACCTCCATCAATTTTAAATTAATTGGCAATACAACACTTACTATGTGTTTTATCTGGCACACATTATATTACAGTTAAAGACAGATGGATCATGGATTTTTAAATATAAAGTTCATGTTAAATGAGTAAAGGGTTTGTATGGATCACAACGGCTCTTGAGGTACGATTACCACCTACAGGGGTCATGGAGGAAGATGCTCCGCTACCATATTTCACTATTAATGTTTTATTAATTTTTAATTTATCAGCAAGCTTATGACAGTATTTCCCAGTGTGGTAGATTGGTAAAAGGTTCGAATACTGGGGTCAGGCTGCTGTGGTTATAGTTGGAGAGAGTCCGCAGAGAATGAATGGAAGTCAATGAAATGTCCTCTGAAGTGATGGAAACACCGCCGTGTGTGTGTGCGTGTGTGTGTGCGTGCGTGTGTGTCTCTCTGTGTGTGTATGCGTGTGTGTGTCTGAGTGTGTGTATGCGCGCGCGTGTCGGCGGATTCCCATCACAACCAAGATGGCGGCGGAGCGGACAGCCGGCTCGGCACACTGACTGACAGACGAAGCAGCAGCAGCAGCCTCGCTCGGTTGGACAGCTAACGGTTCGACTCCGAGAGACGGGAGCGAATAAAAATAAATAAATAAACAATTTAACGGCAACTACAGAAGACGACACCCGGCTCCGGTCACCTCGCCCGTGTCGCCTCGGTAATGCAACGGCGCCGGTAGACGACGGACACCGGCCGAAGTTGAGCGTGTGAGGACCGATTTGACGTTCGCAAGCGGGGGTAAGTGCGAAATGATGAACCGTTAACAGTGATCCGGTGAGGGATTTACCGAACAGCTGCTAACTACGAGGAGCTAGAAATCCCTCATGCTAGCTCCGTCACCTCACTCCTGTTTGTTTTAATTTGTTTTCTGTTTCATTATTATTATTATTTTAATGACATTACTGGCATCACAGCGTTGGAGACTCTTTTTTCTCTCTCTCTCTCTGTGCTTCTAACCGAAGCTCAGTAATGTGCCACAGGTTGTTTGCAATCAAAGCTAATTCGTGAATATTTTAGTATTCCAGTCAGTCAAACCTCATTAAAGCGCAGGTTAGCCGCTGTTATGTCTGTTTTACCCGCTGGCGTGCGGTCCAGAGCTAAAAATAACCCCAAACACTACCCTGTCCGTGTGCCTGGGGGGTATTTTAGGTTGTTCACTTTGTACTTTTGAATCAGAAAACGCCTCGAATTCAACCTTGCTTGTGGGCAGAAGGCACAGAAGGTGCAAGGAGAGTCCTTTCAGGTGCTGTGTGGAGGATTTGCCCAGTCCAGAGGGTATGTCAGTGGGTTTTCAAGGGGCTTTTCAAGCTCTGCCTGGTGGTGTGAAGCAGAAAAAGAGAGTTCAGGGTGCTGACTGCATGATTACGCTGTGAAGCTGCACAATATTGGGAAAAAAAAACTGACCTTGTGAAATCTATCTGTTCTGTGACATCGAAAAAAATACATGCTTTCCCCCAGCTGACTTGCATAACTGTATTTTTAAAGAATGATTTAATCTGGAGGTGATTTTGTAGGGGAGTGCATCTGCATAGGAAATAAGAAGTGTGTTTATAAACGCTGCTCTCATGTGTTGTAATGCTGGCAGAGGTGTCCAGGATCGTTTTTTTTCTTTCTGGTTTGAATAGCATTCAGCTCTGGCTTTGCGCTCTTCATTCTGAGCTGATCAACAAATGCAAGACACTGCTGACAGAAAACCTGTTTTCGGTTGACATCATTCTTTCTGTAGCTGCAATGTTTCCATACAGCTGACCTCTTTCTGCAACCAAATCTTCCTTTTCACTGTTTCTTTCCTGCCCCTCATTCATTTTGCTGCGTGCATGTGGAGGCTGCATGTCAACAAACTCCCTGTCTTGTAAATAAAGAGATCCAAACCCTGAAATCAGAGTGAATTATGACTTCTTTTCTCGATTAGTCATGCAAAAGGAGAATGTGAGTCTTCTTTTTGTGTCAAGCAGCAAACAATCTTGTAGCATGAAGTCATTTGTCAGACTTTGCCTGACTGTTGTGGATGTGCACATCACAGTGTTGATGCTGAAGCGATGTGTTGTGCTGTCAAACTTTTTGATGAGTAGAAAGGGCAGTAAGTTCATGCTTATGAAGCCTTGGAAGTGTTACTACTGTGCATAGGTGTAGATTTCAGATAGTGATGTAAGAGATGCACCCCCTCATGGTTTAGAAGATGCGCATCGTGTTTTCTCATGCATTTTCTTTTACGTAAATAAAAACATTGTCATCATAAATGGATGCATGGACGGCACAGATCTTCAGATTTAGAGCTGCAGCCAATGATTGTTGTCATTCTGATTGATATGTTGATTTTTTTTCTCAGTTACTTGATTATTTGTTCTCATGGTGATCCTAAAATGGTGAAACATGTCGATCTGTGTTCTCCAAAGCTTAAGATGACGTCTTTAAGTGTCTTCTTTGGTCCACAGCCCAAACATATGCAGTTTACTGTCATTGGGGAGTAAATAAACTGTAAAATATTCACATTTAAGAAGCTGGAATCAGAACATTTTTGCTTTTTCTTTCTAAAAAAATTCACTCAAAATTATTCAATCAGTAGCTGATGATTCATTTATCAGTTGACTTCAAATCTGTTTATTAAGTAATTATTTCAGCTCCTAACAGAATGCAGGAAATGAAATGTTTGATGCTCAACATTTTCTAATAAAGGACGCCCAGACCCCTGCTTAACGTACCCCCCCGCCCAGTGTTTACCACCACTATAGCCACGCTAATGTGTAAAATTGGGAATGTGCTCAGAGATATTGTGCAAATGTGACGAGTGCAACGTGTGGAAACTGATCTGCAGAAACAAACCACGACAAACCACCTGCAGTAATCCTGCTCCTGTCGGACGTCTGACAAGAGACATCAGACTTGAGCAGTAGTGACAGCTACCATGGGCATAGATTTCATTTGCACATTGGTGGAGGGACACATAAAGCAGATGTCCTCCCTGGGGGAAAGTTTGAGCGTCAAACACTTAAATTCCTGCATTCTCGTGAATTTTTTCGCACCAATTTGCACTTTTTCTGCATCAGATTGTGGTGGAAATGTCTTTAGTTGTGTAAAAGAAAACGCAAAGTTCAGGCGCCAGATGAAGAATCAAAGTGAAATGGAATGCATGTGGATCTAATTACATTTTCCGCAGTAGATTTAGTGGTTGTATGAGTGGGACGTCTCTTCTACATCCCCTCTAAAATCTACGCCTCTGCATCCATGATTTATTTGCCCTAATCAACCAAAAGTACAAACTACACAGCTCACAATGTATACAGCCCTGCTCCTCTACTTTTTCTCTTCTCTCAGCATGGTTCTAAATTGCACTTATGAAACTTTAAACAGAAATTTGACACATCTTTGCCTCAAATCCCACAAAATTACATCTGTTTGTGTAATTTACATGCAGTGGCACCATATCAAAAATGTGCCTCCCTCTCAGTCCCGTTCACTTGTAATGCATATGGAACTTGCTGGCAGACTACCACATAAGTATCTGTTCAGCGTGAGTTCACTGCATTTTTAGCAATGTCCCAGCATGCACTCCTGACCTCATTAAGTTGATCTTGTAGTTATTCTGCTGCTCCAGCTTCAGCTTCATGCAAAATTCTCCCTTTACTCTTCTCAACACCCCAAGTACCACACAAAGCACACAGTTCAGGCACCAGGTGACAATTGAGAATATAATAAAATATTATGCAGCAGGGATCTCAGGAATTCTGTTTTGCTTTCAAATACGTGTTCTCGTGTGGATTAACTTTTCTCTTTTATTAATGTTCCTGCAAAGTCAACTCACATATATGCATGATTTACGCTTCTGTCCTTCCTTGTGTCTCTTGTTTGAGGCATGTGACACCTATTCACATCAGTGATAAATTAATTCATTACTTATAAACCCGCTGGACTCCAGTAGATCATGCTCAAAACTTTCTGCACATTCAAAACATATCTGTGTTTGTTAAACTGGAGAAAAAAGATTGTCTTGTGCAGGTGGGATTGTTTTATCTGCGACGTATCTTCTGTGTCATCCCCCCCCTCTTAAATCTACGCCTATGCTATCATGGTTTGACTTTCTGGAGATTTACTTCCCCCCAAAAATTCCCTTTGCATCGTTTGTTGGTGTCGCACGGGACAGACAAGTCTGGTCAAATCATACATGTGACAGAAATACCCTCAAGCCTGTCATTTTAAAACCTCAGCTCCACATACCAGAAAGGTAACCTACTCTGTAAACCCATAAATCCTCTGTCTGCTCTGCTTTTTTTGGGGATTTTCATTCAAGTGTGAGTGTCTTCACTTATCACGACACTGGTTCTGTTGTTCTACACGTGATGGACGGGACATGTTCCGACTTATTGCCTCGTCTGCTCATGTTCACAGGGCAGGAGGGCACCCTTTAGGAATGCCAGAGAGGAAAAATAAGTCGTACTTTAAATGTCTGGCACAAAAAAAGCCGAATGGCACAGACTGATTGCATGGGCTGCTTGACCGGGCTCCACGGTCTCGTGTACGATTTACAGCAGTGAGTAAAAGATCAAAAGGAAAGGCAGCGAGACGGTGTCTGCCTGGCTGATTGAAGCCTTCAGGTAACCCTGGTTTCTCTTATCCTGACACCGGGGTTAAAGCCTGCTGTCCGTCTATAAGTGACGCCATATGTTCCTGCTTGTGCCAGTGATGCTTTTAATACCCGAGGCATAGGGTGCATGTTATTCCCATTTTGTGTAATCCAGTAAACACAAAGTGGAGAAACAGTCTGATTTCCATAGTGGAGCTTTAAATACCTTAAGCTGTTTTCAAGAATTTCTGCAGTTTTTCTATTATATTCTATGTTTGTCCCTTATTGCTGCATGATTATGTTCATGTAAATAATCTGGATTGTTTTTGACAGTATTGAGCTCTCAGTTATTCATCATGATTATTCATTGATTGTAGGGACAGAATTTCTTTTTTATTGTAATTTCACTTTTTAAATACAGCTCTACTTTCACTTTCACTTGCACTACATCTGTGCTAATCTTTGCATACAGATAAGATTGGTCTGTATTCACCATTAAATATGAAGCCTCTGGACCCCAAAACATGACGGAGGGTTTAAAAGGCATGTTATGTTTTTTTTAAAAAAAGCCAAAATGACACCATTTATCAGAGCATCAGAAACTGTCAAAACAGAAAGAATAGTCAGATTTTTTTAGCCTTCTGACAAACCTTGAACTAATCATCTGTAACATGTTGTTCCATCTGGAAAAACATCTCTGCATCAAATTGTGATATCTCGTCAAAATCACTTTATTCTTCATGTATTATTGCCACAGACAAACCATTTGCTCTAACCAGATTCTGTAACATTTAAAAAATTCTGTCCTCCTTACCACAACTGAGAAGCCACAAGTGACTCAGCTGTGAAAAAACAGTCATGTGAGAAAAATTCAGGGACTTTTCATTTAAACTGCAAACTGTGTTTAGACAGAGCAAAGAGGACAAGAGAGACTGAGAGGAACATACAAACTAATAAAGTAAATGCAGCATGGTTAAAAAAAAAACAAAAACATGGTATACAGAGCAGCAAGCTGTTTGAGGATATATTCACCATGGTGAAATATCTTTGTAGATTTGATGTGCAGAGTTGTGTGACCTTGTTTGTAGACATTGTAAAATTGTAAGTAGTAAAATATCTGTTGCATACAGAGCCAACAAGTACTGCTAACACCTGTAGGCACTTTGAAAAATATTGT